CCCCCCCCCCCGTCATTTTCCATCTCGCCCGCGCCCCGAGCTCTGCATTCTAATAATTTCTTTTCCTCTGCGCCCCATATAACTTTTTGCAACATCCCGGCGCCTAAAATCTCCCCGCCCCCACCCCCCCTATCCTAGGTGGGCACCTGACGGCAGAGCTTTCGTGACGGCCTCCCACGACAAGGTGGTGACCCTGTACACCTTGAGGGGCGGGGGGGACGGGACGGGGCAGGGCGGCGTCGGCGGCACGGGTTTTGAGCAGGTGCACGTCGTGGGTGGGGGTGGGGAACGACACACGACAGCGGTACTGAGTATTATTCGGTCATTCGAGTGTTGAATATTTTGTCGTTGATTTCTCTCTGTCTCTGTCTGTGTCTCTTTCGCTTTCTCCTTCTCTCGATTCGGTTCGCAGCGGGCGTGACGCGACACCGGAGAGATACAACCTTGCTTGCCGAAATGTGAAACGGATGGTTAGCGGGGATGGCCAACCGATCAACCTCATGGCATATCTATTTGGCTAGAGCAAAACGCAAGGGTGATGGTCAGCTTCGTGTGGCTAATCCTTGTGGAACGTAGCCCGAGCTGGCGAAAAAACGGCATATCGCTCCGTCCCGGCATTGTAGGGATGCGAGGTCGACATGGCTTACCGACTACGGCGTGCGTGTACATGAGTGCACCACCTCCAAATGCCTTGTGCAGGCGACCCAGCTGTATTTTCCCGAGGCGGTAGAGAGCGTGGAGTTCGTAAGGGGAGAAGGCGGTGCGCTGGAGCTGGTGGTGTCGGCCAGGGCGCAGCCGCACCTCACGTACGTCAACATCGAGACCCTCCAACAGCGCCGAGTGAGTGGTTACAGCGTAGCGCACGTGTATGTGTGTGCGGATACCACTCAATCTTTTTTGGTCCTGTGGTAGTGCTTGGCGTCTGCTGTCGCTGCCCTCGGAGCAGACGTTCTCGTGGTGGTGGCGGGGGGGGGGGCGCTGTCATCTCCAAGGGGTAGTCGAAAGGGTTGTCACGAAACCCGGACCCGCTTTTTTTTCCTCAGGCGTTTTCTCTGGATCCCGCCTATACGTGTGTTGAAAACCCAAACCTACAAAGGTGAGCCTGAACGAGAAGGAGTGGGATACCCACGTGTCCTTCACGGTGATGTCCATGGCGGCCTCTGGGGACGGGAAGTACCTCCTCGCCGCCACCGACAAAAGCAGGTACAACTACCACAGCATGATTCTCGAGCCTTTTTTCACCACCAGTCCGTATGGCGAGAACTTTGCGATCTGAATTTTGGCGGCCATGGACAAGCCAGTCAGAGTGGTACGCAGAAACCTTCGGCGAAGATGGATTCAAGAGTATCGGAAGTGATCTGTGTACCAGGCAATTGTTTGTGTTACTTGCGTTGTATCTCACAGAGAGAGAGAGAGAGTGAGGGGAGAGAGAGAGAGACGGACAAAAGGAAGCGCTTGTGGCATGTTTTTCCTTGTGGCATCTATCACCCACACAACAACACACTATCTGATTGTACCGGTCTACAAGGCAGGGCGGGTCTTTGCTGTAAAACTGCCGTTGAAGAAAAAGATGGGTACATCTATGTCATTCTGCTACTAGCCAGGTCATGCTTGTACAGTGTGGCGGGTTCTCACTCAGGATGTGAACCAAATTTTGGTCGTTGTGAGAGACTGGCGCTTTTTGTTGTTGTTGCTGCTGCTGCTGGTGTTACCGCCTCTGCTATGACACATTTGCCTGACCGTTTCGCCTTCAGTTGATAACATCCGCCTTTATTTTGGTCCCCGTCCCTCGTAAGAATAATTACTTCTCGCGGCTGCCGCAAAATGCAAGCAGCAAGACAAGGGCAAGAGCTGCCTGCTTGTAACCAGAAGCGCAAGTTTTTTTTTTGTGTGATCCCGTCGGGGCTGACGTCACTCTTTCGGGTCCGCAGATTACCGCGGCCGTTGCCGACCAATGAATGCACTTCTGGTCATACGTCATACGTGCCACATGAGACAGGGATTCGCGTGTTGTCATCAGTGGTCAGTCTGTGTGATTGTGAGCGATCGACTCAGGTTTTTCCTCTCTGGAAACGTTTTTCCGGCGATCGACGCGCGTGACGCTTGTTTCATGCTTCTTCGCGGCTACACCCACTCATTCTGCCTCTCCCAGAAACATCCTCTGGCGGGCGGGAAGCAACGCCCGGGTCCGCACCCTGATGGGCCACACGACGGACGACTACTTCCAGCCGCGGGTGCAGTGGGACCCCTCCGGACTGTTCTCCTACTGCAACAGCTCTGGGGATCACGACGTTCACGTTCACTGCCTAGCCTCCGGGTGGGTTGTGGTGTTTTCTTTGACAAGTCCTACTAAATATTGCAACAGACGCTTTCAATTTTTCTCCGAGTTTAGTTTTAGCGTGTTATGTGCTTTCACCGTCCCGTCAACAGGTTCCCCTCGTCGAACCGCAGGTTACTGTTGCCCTGGCTGGCGCTTGCTCAATTTTCCTCTTGGCTGTGTAAGTTGCTGTTGAGTTCAAAACCGTTTCTTACTTTTCCCGCTACCGCCGTCCGGCCTGGCATCGTTCCATTCGATTCTTCGCGTCAACAGCCGCGCCGTGGAGCAGCTCAAGGGGCACCGTGCCGTCATACGTGACATCCACCACGACCCTTCTAGAAGAGTTCTCGTTACGGCTTCCTACGACAAGACTGTCAAAGTCTGGGGGGAGAGATGAGGGGTCGGCTCTAGCGAGAACGGCAGTTATCTTGGGGGGGGGAATATCGATGAAGACTGCTCAAGATGGCGGAAACTTTATCGTACGTGCACGCCGGATGTCGCCTTAGCTACCGAAGATTCGCTTTGGGGTCACGGGGCTCGTGTGCAAGGAATAATAAGAACACCTTTCGACATGTTCATGTGTGGACTCGTTGTAAGATTGTTTTCACCCCGAAGTTGTGCGAGCCAAGAGAAACCACTGAGACACAATGGCTACGGTTCTTTCCCTCCCCCGGAATACTCACGACCCCTGTGCTAGATAGGGTGGGTAATGAGCCGCGGGTGACGACTCAATAACTCGCAGTAGTCTATCTGCGATGCTGTGCGATGTTGTTGTTCCGATCATGGAAGTGCAGCAGAAGGAGGAGCCCCGCTCACAACAGAGAGAAAAGGAGCGCGCAGGATTGGTTGGTGGTTTGGAGTGTTGGGAGTGTGGGATATGCAGGCTTGTGCGACGAGGAAAATGAGCAGCGCTTGTTTGTACACATAGACTACATGTTGCATGTGGGTTTTGGTGAAAATTCATGCGGCTCATTTATTTCCGCTGATGCCATTCTCAGGTACAGTAGTTGTTTTTCAAAAATGCTTCGCTTCACGTGGTTTCCAATGTCCAAATTTTTAAGGACACATCACGCTACGCAGTTTCGGGCGTTGGTGGTGGCCGTCGATTCCAGTCTTGCGCCCTCCCGCCGTTCCGCAGCAGCCGCGTACTCAACCAGTTCGCGACCGCTAGGCCATGCGGAAACGGTGCTTACTTGTGTACCGCACGAGGTCAAGTTGATTACATACATGTGCATGCGGTTCTCTGCTGTTTTTAGAATCTTCTTCACACGTCGGCTCCGCACTTCCGACACTTTGGAACGAACTATTTACGTTGTTGTCCTCCGCAAGCCAGCGCAATAAGAACCACTGCTCCCACTCCAGCGCGTCCTACATGTCCATGAGCTCCAGGCGCTCATGGTCGGGTCGAGCCTCATCCCCATGCAGTGTAATAAGCGCGTCGTCCATTTCCTGGTACGGCGATGGCGACAGAGAAATGATCCAACGGGAAATAAATTGCGAATTCAAAATTCCCGCATCATCGTCGGAGAGACTTTTTCGCTTTTCTTCTCGCGGGCAACAGAGCATGCATGGTCCACTTTGTGTTGCTTTCGTAAAGGCGAGAGAGCGAGAGAGCCAGACCGGACACGTACTACAACAGCGGCTCTGCGTGGTGTGTGAACATTCTCCCTGTGGTGAAATGCATGCAAAGTATTTCCAGTCATTTCCAGTATCGAGGCAGGGTGTGTGATGACGAAACAAAAGGACTTCCTCGATATGGAGGTTGGGTCATGAGTATTGGCTGCTGCGCGGTTTTCTTCTGCTCTCTCGCTTGGGCAACCCTCCCCCTCAGCCCTGTCCTCTCACCCGGGCCATATGGTGGTAGAGCACCGCCGGGGAGCCGCTTCGCAAACCCATACCGCCGTTTCTCTGCCAGTGTAGTTCAACACCTCCCAGCGGTGTAGTTCAAAAGCTCTCGGCCGACCGTCTGTGTGTAGAAAGCTCCCGACTGCTGTGCTCTGTTCGTACAGGTGTTCGTAGGGCACCGCCCGGGAGCCCATCCGCGAACCCATGCCTGCCGTTGTTCGCTCGCTCCGCAGCTCATTAAAAAAAGTTCTCCCCGTGCAACGTATGGCCCCACCGCGGCGATAGTTCCTCCCAGCAGTGTTTGGTGCTCTGGGCAGAGGCGATTGTTCCATGATACGGTACTGGTTGCTGTAACTAGGTTCAGTTCAACTCCTCGCAATCTCCTGAAGCAAGCTTCGACGTGAGCTCGAATCTCCGCGCAGTGACACGAACTCGAGAGTTTCTCACACCCTGCCCCCCAAAAAAGTGGGTAGAATAACAAAAAATGTCGTGCGTGCACACATCATTCAACTTCACCGCAGACGAAGGAAACGGGCGTGGTTATGATCGCGATAAGAGTCTACTGCCGTAGGTCATGGTTGAATCCTTCCATCGTTAACACCGCTGAGAAAGCGTGAAGGGGGAAGAAAGCAGAAAACAACTTTTATTGGTGGTCTTCCTCCTGTGCGACCCCGGCAGTGCGTCTAAACATTCGCGGGGGGGGCATCATTATTGTAATAGGAGTTTGACTCCAGGACCCCCAGGCCGCAACTTTTCGGCTGTGAAGTTTCAACGTGGAAACTTGTCGACCCTACAGTCTAGTCTACATGCTTCTCTCCCACTACCACTCTCTGATGTTTTTGTTGTCTCTCACACACAGTTTCTCGCCATTCTCATCCTCCAACGACACAAAAATGTTTGATTTGTCCATTTCTTGCCTGTGGTTCTTGCGGTTGGCCTTGAAATCTCTGAGCATGCTGTACGCGATGTGACGAGACTCTTCCTCGAAGAAAAGTTGAGCACCACCAGACTGGAATGCCCAAGGGCCCAGGGGGATGCGTTCACCCCACTCTTCTTTGCTCTTCTTATTGTGCTTACCATGTTGCTTTATTCGGTGGTAGGAACTCTGAGGGAGACTGAGGGAAGACACTACAGTTGGCGCCCGCAGTTAAGAAATATTTCGATAAGAAATTGAGGCTCACTTTATCACGAAAAACAAGAAAATAGGGTTAAGAAACTTAGCTCAATCTGGGTCACACAATGAGAAATGTCTCAATAAGAAGCACAGCGGCGACCGCTGCCCTACTACATGAGAAACGAGGGTTTACGGGGGAGTGTGTCGAATAAGAAACAAACCCCACAGCTCTCTCGCTCTTTCCCCCTCTCCCCCTCTCCCCCCCTCCCATAGTGGAGCGTGGGGTTCTCGTGAAACTCGGGTTGGGTTGGTTCGGAGGGGTAATTAGTCGCAGATCTCACCCCGCTTCGCGGCAGGAGTACGACTACCGCGTCATCCTGCACTGTGACGAAACCACGCGTAGCATGAAGTTGCCGTTGGAGTCGTACAGCACGGATGAAGACGTCGCAGTTGGGGTGTGGGTCCTCCTAGAGGTAGACCCAAAGGAAGGGAGCGGGAGGCGCAAAAGGGTGACAACCCCCAATGTTCGCCTCACGGAGCTTGCAACATTATGACGGGGTAGTTTTCGTTGTTGGCACGTCAGCGTGCGGGTGAGGCTTCATGCGGTGTTTATGCATTTGTTTAGTTTCAGCCCTCAATCATGAGGGGGGTACAGGACCTTGTAGCGATAGCGAGACGTTGCCGCTGGATACATTTCGCTTCTAGGGAGTGGCCTTACGTGCAGCCGTCGGTAGTGAGAATCGAGGTTGAGTACGGGGGTCGAGGACAGCAGTGCAAATCATTTGTATATTTGGAACGTTGTGTATGCAAGCAGGGAATAAGAAATTGCCGATTTAAGAAATTCAGCAGGATTTGGCTACACGAAAAAGAAACTTGAAATAAGAAACGGAACAACATACGCTGAGTGTATAGCCCACAATGAGAATTCGAGGCTGGACCTGAAATAAGCGTTTCTTAACTGCGGGCGCCAACTGTAATGTATGTCCAAGGATACATGCAAGACAGGGGAGCGTCGTCTTCAAAATGTGACAAGAGTGTGCACCACAGGCTCCTGTATCTACTGTTGGAAGTGAGTCTGACCGAGTTTTTCGTGATTTGGTCACCGTGAAGGAACGTCGGCAATGTATAGAGCAGCGCTGGAAGGGGAGACCGAAGAGAAAACAGAGAGATTCCATAGAGCTAATTCAAATGCATGTGATGTCAAGCAAACGGTGACCAAGCGCTGCGGCGAGATTTGTCTTTTTCTTCTCTGTTCTCCCGAAACGGAACTTACCAACGGTTAAAAACCCGTTGGCCGCAGCCAAGTTCCAGCATGTGGATCCTGCTTGTCACATCGTTGAACGTCCCTCAGCACATATAACCCGTGAGAGAGGAGAACGAAGTAGTCGACAGAGCACGGTGACGAAGGAAGTGTAGGTCGTGACAAGGGATATCGTGTCTGTAACCATCATTCGCGGGGGCAAGAAGGTACCGACTTGGGTGTACAGCCAACATCAGGAGCAGCAGTCAAACTCACCCGCGGGTAAAAGAAAGATGAAAATTCAACCGTGCGTCCGACCGAGCGTTCCCAGTCTCAAGGGATCGGCGAGAGGCCATCACGGGGCAGTGCCTCCTGGGATCAACTCATCCATCAGCAGCGCACCAAACCTCATGAACGAAGAGCAGCAGCAGGAGACCTTACAGGTGAGAGTGGCCACCGACAAGATGATCACCCGTCCGTCGCGACTCAATGCCAAACGTTTTACAGATCGGATTACTGAACGTAAGGTAGTCTAGTTTAGTCTAGGCTACCAGGGGGATACGATCGTCGCACAATGGCAAGCCGGAAGAGGGGCTCTCAAGGTTGGTGATCATCCCTCGATCGATCTTCGGCCAAGAAATATCGCTGTCTCACACGCTAACAGACCCGCCACCGCCTCATGCCTAGTCTATACATCATAGACTAATCTAGATAGGCCGAGTGCCAAGTGGTACGCAAGAGCCCTCCCTCCGTGAGAGGCTGCTGTCCCTGTTCCGATAAACACAGTATGGAGGTAACCAAGAAGGCACCCACACGATCATCCCTCGATCGATCTTCGGCCAAGAAATATCGCGGTCTCACACGCTAACAGACCCGCCACCGCCTCATGCCTAGTCTATACATCATAGACTAATCTAGATCGGCCGAGTGACAGTTGGTACGCAAGCGCCCTCCCTCCGTGAGAGGCTGCTGTCCCTGTTCCGATAAACACGGTATGGAGGTAACCAACAAGGCACCCACACGGCCGCCATTCACACCACAGGTTGCTGCTCTTGATCAGGTGCACCCTGTGTCTCCTTGGGTCACAGCAGCGTATCGCATCTATCTTGTATGCATAGAACTAACTTTTTCTATTGGACTCTTTTCCTGCCGAGTATCGGATCCTTCTTTCGGTCAAACTTGTACAGTAATCCTAGCGACCTACCGATCGATATGCCGCGCGCGCAAGCAAACGTTTAGGCCAGAGAGTTGTGGGTCGCCCTGTATTCTCACTCTATCTGCGATGCCGCCTAATTGCAATAGGTGCGAGCAACTCGTGCTGTAGTTTTGTTGTTGTTGTTGTTGTTGTTGTTGTTGTTGTGTTAACCCTTACTACGTGACTGGGTTGATTTGAATTATATATATTTTTTCCCGCAAATGGCTCTCTGTGGTCCAAGATCCAACATGCACACGTGTACATACACAAATCACGGCTCAAGGATGGTGCAGGAGCGAATCCATGTGTGTGGCTCACAGGGATGGGAACGCGGGTATATGTAAGGGTGATGAACAGGAGTACTGCTACTGCTGTAGTACACGCAGTAGTACGAGGATAGGGAGAAATTTACAGCAGCAGTAGTCTGCGACCATGTGCATGCCGTCTCCGACAGCAACCATCCGCACAGAAGACGTACCTGTGCAAGCAATACATGCTGGCACATCTTCTCTGCCTCATCCCTGGGCAGAGCATACGGCAGACGCACATTCTAGTAGCGCTAGATGCGAAGATGCAGACGGGAAACCGCCTCACAGGAGCGGAAGATCGATGGAAAACTGTAGTGGCCCACGCAGCAAATCGGACCATCATCCACTATCAAATGCAGAAAGATCGCGATGAATTTTACAGTTCTGTACTACAATTTGAGAACTGTGATCGGAGGTGTGATCGGAAGTGTATGTAGTCGTGAAAACCCTCTCCCTTGAGCGAAACATTGCGCACAGCAGACGAATCCCGTTCCACTCCCGATGCGGGGAATCATACGCACCGCAATCACAACAACATCAAGCGCCGCGGCGGTACGTTAGAATCGGCTCTGGCGCGCGTTTTTTCTGCCCCTCCCCGCGCACGGGTCGATCGCATGTTGAGGGTGTTGTATGTACCTTCCTCCCGTGGTATTCTGGGTTTGGCTCTTACAGCAGTACCAGTGGGCAGTGGGTTGGATCTGGAAAGGACATCTGCCCCACATCAGAGAGATCAGGCCTTGTGAATGGTTAGTTGTCCTGTGCGCGTTGCTAGTGAGGGTGCTTTTGGGATGGGCAGCCTCTTTATCTCCCTGCTGGTTTCTATGTGTATTTTTTTCTCTTGAGCGAGGTACACCGGCTATCTTTCCGCACGAAAAGTGAGCGGAGCTGGGATCGGAGCTCAATCGCGGGTGTAGTCACATAAGGGTTCACGTTTTTTTTTTTGAAACAATCTTCACGTTTATTTCCAAGGGGTGGATCTCAGCGATGCTATTAGAGAACACCTCCACTCCAGCCCCGTGGTCCTACTTCACGATGCGTGCAGCAGCATCACGAAAGAACAACCTACTCCGTAACAAGAAAATAGAACACCCCGTCGGCCAACGCCCATCCCTGTACCTTTCCTATTTAGGCAATAAAGAGAGACAAATCTGCCTCGTGGCACGTGTTTCAGTATGCCCGGTACGAAGCCAATTCTACTCCGCGAACAGCTCCGACATTTATTCCAAGGGGGGGGGGGTTCGGTAACGTTCGCGTGTTCAGGTACGGGCTTAATCAAGAAACCTCATTGCTTGGCTGCTACTGTAGATCTCAATTAACCAGGCCCGACAACCGTTCGATGTCGTCGAAGCAGGCGAATGCTTCATTCTCCTGCCAAACGAGGGCAAACAATCCAGACCTGGAGCAGGCTGAACAAGCTCGACTGCTTGTGGAATGGGTGGAGGGGTTCAAGCAGCACCATCATAAACACTGCCAGATGGATGTGCAAGAGCTACAGGAAAAGCAAGCGTCGGCGGATGCCGCCATCAAGTACTCTCTGGAGGAATTGAGGCAGCGAAAGGCAAGGTCTCATATTCATAGACGATATTCGCTTTATTGGGCCAAGCCTATTAGAACTGAATGTGTGCCAAACTTGTACGGTAATGCCCGTGAACAAATATTTAGTGAAGTTCCTGTTGCTCGCGTTACACAATACAAATAAATCAAATCACGGCAATCTCCAGCGTCGGCGGTTGCCGGTGTGTGCAGACGGGACCCCCCCCCCTTTCGCGTCGCAGTCTTGTTTGGCACATTTGCGGGCCTTGTGGAACAAGTAGAATTGACCACGAAATTCTGTAGTACCATGTTGTTGTCGTATGCTCAACTTCAGAAAACTCCAAACAAAACCACACCATCACACCTGTACGATGTGGTCAGGTGTACGAAGACGATCGCGTCGCCGCCCTGAAAGAGATATTGGGCAACTCTCGCTTGCTGAGGAAGCACATCCCGGGAGGACATGTGAGGGTCGGACGCAACGTGCGTAGGCATGAGGAGGGGATACCAGAAGAAAAATGAGTCAAGGACTACGAAAGAAGCGTGGGAGCCGCTTGGTGTTCAAAAATACCGGAGGTCTCAACAAATATTGCACCCATGATATCGAGCCGTGTTTTCCTACAAATTTCACTTCTGCTTTTCGCTACAACTGCGAAAATGAGCATGAAGAGGCGTGCCGGTGAAAAATATGTCAACGGACATTGCATTTCCTACTTACTACGTACGTTTTTTAACATGTTTTTTCACGCCGAGTTTGTCTTGTTGCAATTGTCGGAAGAAACTGCTCGTTCCCAGCGGTGGGTCTAGTGCGTGTTGCTCGTGAAGTCGAGTGTGTGTGCGTAGTGTTCCATACTCGCGAGCGAGGTGAATGCACGCAAGGCCCCACAGTCCGTCCCTCCCTGTGATATAACACCACCAAGTACATTTTTGATTGCAACACAAACACATTTCCACCGATGCACCAAGTAAAGAAAAATATAACTTATCGATTTCATACATTGATGCATGTGTAGCCCATTGTGTTCGTCCCTTGACCATCATTCACTTGCAATGGCGCCCCCCCGTCCCACCCGTCCCCTACCCCATCTCTCCAATGCTGCAGGCCTACGGTTACGAGGACGAATCCCGGATGAAAAACCTGGCCTACCGGATGGACGAGGCCGGGACAAGTCCGGCAGCTGGCCTCGAGGCGTACAGACTGGCAGAGACCCGATGCGTGGCAATGCGGGAACATGCTCGTCGAAAACTTTGCTGCAACGGTATTCCCGACCACTTCCTTGGCGAGGGTGGTGAAAAAGAAGAAGGTGGGGGGGCGGAGGAGGTGACGATGGGGATGAACGGTGCATACTCGAGAGGGCCGCCGGAAGGAGCCGGCCGTAAGCACGACGATCGTTCCTTGTCGAACATCGGCGACGGCGGCGGCGGTGGTGGCGACTATTCCGGTCGCCGCAGGTGGATCGGTACACCGGAAGGCGGCCGCATCGGTCTCCTGAGAAAGTCAGCTGCAACCGTATCACCAGCAGCATCAACATCGGCAACAGCAGCAGCAGCAGCAGCAGCAGCAGCAGCAGCAGCAGCAGCGGGGCATGGCTGTTGTGAAAACGCCAGCTGCGGCCCCGCTCACCCAGGCCCGTCGACAAGCCCTGCCCAACAGTGGGCTCACAACTTGGAAAGGGACATGCTGGTGAAGGCCGGCATCATGGCGGTGACCTCGCCACGGGCGACGGGAGCAGACGATGAAACCGGCAGCGGTGGCGGCAGCGGCAGCGGCAGCGGGTTTGGGAAGCCGCCTCCGGAAAGAAACGGACGGGGTGAGATGAGAAGGCCTTCCGGGCTAGTGGCGCCAGGGGAACGAGTTACTAACAACCATCCTCCTGGGCTGGTTGTGCCACGGGGGGGCGACGGCGTTGACGACTGCAGGGAGGGCGGGTACCGAGGGCTGTTGATGAGCCCGCTTCGTGAAGCGGTGGCCATGTCGTTCGGCGGCAGGCGGGTGAAGATGATGGCCTCCACGCACCCCCCGTCGACGAGGCCCAAGGACGTTGGCCACGGCGGCCGCACGGATTGGGGGTGCCCTCCGAAACCGCAGCGGCGGCAGACCAGCCCGCCTCAGACCGGCACAAAGAGCACGGAGGCGGCAAAGGAAGCGGCAGCAAGAAAAGGGTGTGGCCGGGCCGTGAGTTTCCTGACGGCGGCGGCGGGAGCGGCGGGAGCGGCGGGCGCCGGCGGTGGCGGCAGCGATTGCGGCGGTGGTGCCTTCTCTGCCGGCGGAGGTTTCAGCGACAACGGCGGCACCGGCGGCGGCAACGCAGGCCACGGCGACCGGAAACCACCGACGATTCCGGTTCATCAGCATACTGCAGACGCGATGCAGAAGCAAGAAGTATCGGTGCGCGCTGATAGGCTGCTCTCCTTGCCGAGGACCACAGAAGCAGCAGCAGCAGCAGCAACGGCGGCGTCAGGGGGCGACGCCGGTGTGGACTGCGCCCCTCCCATGCAGGTCGGCGAGCAAAGCGCGACGTCGATTCGGCGAAGGGTGGAGGCGCTGCAGCTAAGGAATCTGAGAGAGGAGAAGTTTCTCTGTGCGTTCATGCGCTACAGGTTGAACATTTCAGCTGAGAATCTTCGCGGCTTAGACCGTGTGATTCTGGCGAGCGAGGTAAGACGAAAAATGTTGGGTATTTCAACAACGTGAGGCGGCACTTCTGACGGACGGACGTGAAACGTTCCCAAGGCGTTTGGTTAGAGCTGTTGACGGTGAATCCTCTCCGTCTCCATTGTTGCTGCCGTTGTTGCCGTTGTCGTTGTCGTTGTTGTCGTTGTTGTTGCATTGTTTCTTCTTCAAAGATGCCCTAGCGAACTGCACACAATTCAACAAATAACGCGTGCCCCCGCAAGCTAACCTGAGCGCATGGTCTACGAGAGTTGTTTTACAGTTCTGCACGAAACAAATACACCACGGCTATGATTCACCCCCGCAAGGGACAAAGCCAACCCTCCGTCCCCTTCGTCCCCTCGATACACGGGGACCGTTCAGCAGTGGACCGTTGTTGTTTCGGTGGCATTGGTTGGCACATCGCGACCCCCCACCGTAGCCCTACCCTACACGCATCGATGTTGGCGGCACCATCCCACCAATCACGTCTCGCACAAAGCCAGGGCTAAACATTTGATTGTCCACCAACCTTTAAGGCTACCCTCCCCTCCCTTCCTTCGAACGAGGGGCTGTTGATAAGACGAACTCGGATTAAATTGTCGGACCACTGCCATAGGTGTTGAGTATTGATGCGCTAACAAGATGAACCGGAAACACTAAACATCCACGTGCATTCACCCGCCCATCGAATTTACGACCAGGCGAGACGAGCGGTCGTCAACGCAGAGGTGAAGGCCGCCACCGAGGCCTTCCGGCGGGACATTGCCGAGGCTAACCGATTCAGGGTAAGAGGGAAGGAGGGGGTGAAGGTGTCACGGTTGTACATCCATGCAAGTCATCATCACCCTGTATCCCTCGAGTGCGCAACCAACAGATCGTCGTTTGCGCACCCCTCGACACAATAATGCTTGCTGTAGCACTCACTTTTCACTCCCCCCCTCTCACCCTGAGGCGATTTCCCGCAGCCACCGCCGGATGGAATTTCTCGGTGGCGATCTTGACCTGCTCGTTCAGGACGTTTCGTCGAGCCTGGTCGAATTGCTGTCACGTGCCTTTTCTTTCCCCCGGCCCTTGACAGTGATGGGCTGGACGTTATGTAGGGTATGAAGAGCTTGCTGCGCGTGAACCTTTTTGGCACGGATTCTTATTATTGTAATAAATATACTTCCCGGCCGCCAAAATCGAAGGGTGATGCATTGCCCTCTTCGGTGAATCAAATGGATACCAGCAGGCGCAACAATCTACACGTCCTACCTTGCAACTCCCGCCCCACCCCGTCGAGCCTGTTCGCACTCTTCGTATGCATACAAATCCCGTGCCTTTTTTGCGGAGTAGAGGCAGCGGCAATGGGGGCAGCATCTGTAGCACGATGCTGATACACCTGGACTTGTCGTTTTCCGCCCTTTTTTTGGCTCTCTTCCTTGCTCCCCACCCTCCATCCCTACACCCGCATCCGTGATTTGAACTCCATTTCCTTCCTAGCCGGAGTACTTGTGGGTCGTGCGCAGGAAGTCTTGGGTCCCCTTGTCAGCCGACCCCCCCTCCCGGTGAAGACACGATACCTGTAGCGGCGTGTATCGCTGTATCGGCAATCAACCCGCCGTCCGGGTGGCATGTTTTTGGTTTCGTAGGCTTTCAAGGAGTGCAAAAACGTTGAGCTGTTCTCCATCCCACCGACCACTCGTTGGTTCATCTCTATATAACACCCCGAGCATAAATCTGAACGATCAACCTGCGCCACCGGTATCTCTACTCCCCAAAACCCAAACAGTTGGAAGCAGAGGCGTGCAAGGCAGCGCTGGCGGAAGTCGCCGTAATACCCCCCGTACCCGCCAACTCCATCGCCCGGGGAGTGTACGGAGACTGGTTCCATGGACGAGAGTACAACAGGTTTGTCGACAAGACTCGGGAGCGCTACGGCGACGGGTCGGACGAGCTCTTCGTGGCCACCGACGTGGTTAGTCAGCAGCACCGGACTCGGAACGGGGGCGAGGGCGGCAGCGTATGGGCCGTGGGCGTGAAGGGACTCGGGCAAGGGACCTTCGGAGTCGTGACCCGGCTCGACGTTCTCACCCTGGGCAAGAGCTACGCCGCTAAGGAGTTCAAGGATGTGAGTGAGCCTTAGCCTCCGGTGCGTCTGAGTACGTAACAGTGCTGATTGTTTGTGTTTGTATTGCTCCACACTGTTATTTTTCATTCGGGAGAGCACCTCTCTCATGGCAGCATGCATCACAATGCGTTCCCGATCCCTTCCTGGAACTCAGCCGCTCGAGACACAAACCCTAGGAAAAGATGAAACTTCGCATCCGTTGCACCGGTCGGAACCAGTAGGGAAGGGCGATGCTGGTTGGCTGCATTTTACAAGTATCTGACAAGACTGTTCGACCACTCCAAACCGACACAGAGAGATCCGCAAGGCGTGCTAGCATTTACTCCGAAACCAACACCGCTCAGCAACCTTCCGACACTGGCATCTTGCTGCGAGCAAGACCACCTTGCCACCAAACGTATCCGCCCCCATTCCCCCTTTCGTGCCCCTCCTCTTTCCCCCCTCCTTTCAACCCCCCTCATTACCCCTCCCGCTTCCTCTCTCTCCCCTCCGCCTCCCCGACCTCTGCCCACGATCCTATTGATGCCAAAATAACTCCGGCATAAATCCCACAACGCTGTTCGATATCTATTTGATTCCACGTTGCCAACAACTATTTAACTCCCGACGATAATAACAACCAACAACAGCAAGGAGAAGGCGGGGACGATGGTTCCTGGATGAGAGGTTGTGCTCAGGCGGGTCTCCTGACGGAGATGATCGTTCACAATAGGTGAGAGGCGGCGGGTGGGAAGGGTGGTACGTCCTTTTTTGAATCAACCTTTGAGGGAAGGGGGTGGGGACGGAGGGGATACACCCCATATCTGGTCCTGGACGAAAAATGATCATGTTACCTGCATCTTCCGAGTATATTGTTGCTTTTGTCAGAGTTTCACCGTGCCTACTCCAGTGACAGCCAGTGTGCGAGAGAGGGAAACTATTTTGCGTTTTGCAGGTGAAACGTCTCTGCGTTCGAATGCTGGGTTGTTGGCATGCAAGACAAGCAGAAGCACCATCTCGAGTCTGCCTCTAAATAGGCCCGACGTACCATCATAGCCCAGAGAGAGATACTGATAATATGACGGACAATTCTAACATCGAAAAGAAAAATCGCGCCAACCATATGGGGAGGGCGGTCACAACGTAGCCTCATCGCTTGACAACTCGCGTGTGCCATACGACCTCCTTACAAGCAGAACCTACTCTTGCGCTAGTCTAAGCTTAACCCAAGAGAGGTTCCTTCCTCATTTTGGCCATAATCAGCCACGCAGCAGTGAGCCCCATCTTGCTCTACCTTTCTTTTTTTCTTTCCACAGCATGCCGCCGCATGCCAACATCGCCGGGCCGTCCGCCATGGACGACCGGGATAAGGACTCCCTGGTCGTCTTCTATGACCTAGCCGTGGACGACTTCCATGGCTACGCCACGGGACAAGTCCCGGCCAGCCCGGGAGTGCTCATGCGGTGAGTCAGTGTTTGACCAAATGGCAATTCTCGGACGCCGCGTTCACCGGATCGTGTCCAAATTATTTCCATAAAGAGCCTCTCTGCCTTGGAATGAGGACGAGGGTCGATGTACCCCTTGCCGCCGACCCCTTCGGCTACACACATACAGGCCGGCATTGCCTCCTCTCGGCCCTTACAGTACCTCGCCAGAAAGTACCGCAGTTGTGGAGAATGCCGGCCGTTTGTACCCGTCTCATGGAGGTCCAGGCACTTTCGGAAGTGCAGCCCCAAATGATACCGCCTACGCTGGGATATGATTTTCGACGTCGAAAAAACACCGAACACGACCGCAAACACCACTCAATCTCGAAAAATCCCCTCTCAATGTCGTTTACCCACCCAACCACTCGGGACAATATTAGGTCCGATCCCTCTTGGCAACGTTCGACGAACCCAGAGTGCAGGCCCCCAAATCCAAGCCCTGTCTCGAGCCTAGCCCTCAATCGTAATCGTCAACCAACCCGTTTGGCCATGCTATTGTCCGACATGACTCGAGGGCTGGAGCACCTTGGCCGACATGGCATTGCACACAATGACGTCAAGCCTGGCAACATGGTGGTCTTCCAGGAAGCATGTCGGATGGGAACATGCTTCCTCGCCTACATGCTTCCTGAAAGACCAGCATGTTGCCAGGCTTGACGTCATTGTGTGCAATTCCATGTCGGCCAAGGTGCTCAAGCCCTCGAGTCATGTCGGACAATAGCATGGCAAAACGGGTTCGTTGACAATTGAGCGCTAGGCTCGAGTCAGGGCTTGGGTTTGGGGGGCTGGGCGCAAAATTCTTTGAACGTTTCCGGCGAGGATTATGGTGCCTGGTTGCTGGTCCTGTCTCCGTGCAGCGGTGGGGTCGTTGACGTCGAGTCGTCACTTTGAGACATTGGCAGTAGTGTTGTTCGTATCAGTTCTCTTGAGGCAGAGAGTCGTCTCGGAGGGTAAGGGATCACCCGGCCGGGAGTATAGTTGCATCATTACCGGCTGCACGGTTTCACCCAAACTAGAACTTCAATGAGACACGAATAGACAGATGATCGGCAACTTAGAGATGGAGATGTCGACGAGGTAGGGGTGGCGGCATTGTCGGTGTGTATGTGTGATTGTTTGCAAGGGGAGAGCGTTGGGGGGTGTTCCTAGGCAGAGAGGTCCCCTTCTGCAAAAAATACATGAACACACGCCGCGGGGCAAATCCCGTCCAGCCCAAAAATGCTCATGCGGTGAGCCAGTTCTCCTGTGCCGTCTTCATGTCTTTGCAGAAGCAAGTCTCTCTACCTAGGAATGCGGAGGAGGGTCGATACCCCGTCACCCCATTTCCTTCACCCCATTTCCTCCACCGTACACACCCACAACACTCAGAAAATTCCTCCGCCCCCACATCGTCGAAATCTACACCTCGACCTTTCCGGCATCTGTGTGTGTATCTCATGAACTTCTTGCCTGTTTGATACCGTGCTGCCCGTAGCGATGCCGCTCCACGCCCGGGCTTCCCCTTCCCTGGCAACAGAGTACCTGCCCATTGTGAAATACGCAACACAAACGACACAACAACAATCAACCTCGTAAAGTTTAATCTCGGCGTCGGGATTGACTCTACCTCCAACGCAATCAACGACGGTGCTCCGTGTCAAGGTAGATGCATCACTCGCCAAGGGCCCCCACCACTCCCACCCCATGGAACGACAACCAGGCACGCACGATCTCCCCTCCGCAACATTCGGGATTGCGCGCGTGAAAAACAAACAAGCCCAGGCCCTGACCCGAGCCTTCCCGTCAATCGCCAAAACAACCCGTTATGCAGACTTTTGTCCGACATGGCTCGAGGGCTTGAGCACCTTGGCCGACATGGAGTCAGCCACAACGACGTGAAGCCCGGCAATATGCTGGTATTTCAAGACTCGGGGGTACTCGTTGCCAAGGTTACCGACCTCGGATGTGCTCTCGGTGGGTGGTCCTTTTTAGCGTGCGTTACTCTTCAGCAGTTGCTGGGGCTTCTACAGTAGCTGCAGAAGGTCGGCTGTTTATTTTAGTCGTAGCCGTTGAGGGACATATCACATACTCCTGCACACAACGACTTTATGATGGATAATGCGCCATCTCAAACAGACAAGATTTCGTTGGTTGGGCCAAAGATTTGTGGCGTGTCGTTGTTGTCACCGCCACGACCGATGCAGAGAGGTATGCGAGATGTCACAGCACAGGCACAGGTAGCGGGGTGCAAAGAGGCCTAGGCACGCGCGAAAAAAAAAATGACGAAGCAGCGATTAATCCAGTTGCACAAATTGCAGCAGTGGTCCCAAAATACCTAGCAGGAGCTCCTACAACAAACGGCGACAAAGTCATAGTACATCTACCACTTGCCGACAAGTTCCACATTTCCACGCCATGACTCGAGGCACGAGCAACGTACGGAACCAAAAATCGAAAGCTGAGCGTAACGGCACACGAAAGGCGGAAATAGGCGGCGTAAGGTTCTTACGAGGTCGAAGTGGTCCTACATGCCAGGTTGTTGATGAACGCCTACATGCATCGACGCACCGGAGCTTGCACGACACGCAACATAGCAGCCATTGTATTCTGCCTGAGACAAAGAAAACGGAGATCAAAGGCTAGCCACGCAACGTGGGTTTTGGAGGTGTGGAGATAACTCGTCTTTTCCACCGGTCGACGGAGAAATGAATTAAGGAAGGGCAGGGCGTGGTGGTGTGCGGTAGTTTTGGCGAAGGTGGTGGAAGGCCCAACGAAAACCTGAAGATGACCACCGATAAATTCTTCAACGCGCATCGAATGCAAGCTCATCGGCTCGCCACACCAATCACAAGACGGGAGACCAGATATCAGGAACAGCAAATCAATGCCTTGGTTATGAACACGCGTCCGCTCGTTGCATGCAGCTCACGGGGACATGAGGAGAGGGCAGGGCACGATCGGGGGCCGGGTACCAGAAGGGATGATGCACCGGGAAGTCGCATGCGAGCCGTCTCAGGACGTGTTCGCTCTGGCACACATGATATTGCTGACGCTAACGAAGAACGAGTGGAAGAGCAGCAACATGTGGGTCAGCAAGGTGGGTGCTGGTGATGCGCGCTGTAGGTTTTGATTATTTTCGTGGCGATGCCTACGTTAACTTGCCCGTGGATACTCTCGCGTGAGACGGACGGTGACTTGGTACCAAGGCAATCCACTTACATGCTCAATCTCCAATTAGATCTCCGTTTCCCTTGTCCACCCGCTGCTTTAAAGCTTGTCGCAATACTTGGCTCCACCTATTGGCTAACAGAGAAGTACAATCTCTTCGCGCTACATGTATCCGCAATATGTTTCTTCCCTCAGGCCGCGCTATGTGATGACGATCAGAAAACCGCTAGACGGTTAGAGGAGCGGAATGCTTCCGGTGCTTCCAAGCACCAGTTCTTGGTGAGTCAAACCGAAGCAGCAGCGGGAAAAACTTCACACTCCCTCGCCCCCCTTCCATCAACGTGATGTAGGGAAAATTCCCGTTTACGGCCTGCGGTGTTGGCGCAGGGCAGGCAGCAACGGTTGACTCAACTATGAGGATAGTATATCCGCAACGCGTGACGCAGGCATGACAAATTTTATCGGGTGGCTTGACCAAAGAGACTGACGGAGTACACGGTGTTGTTGTGCTTGCATAATCACTTCCAGGATAATGGAAAATATTATATTCGCCAATTCCCTCGAAGTGATGTCGGCATCTCCGTTGTCGAGAGCAAGTAAGTGCTCCGCCGCCCCCATAATGGAGTAGATACCTGCTCTCCGCAACCAGGTGCCGACATCACTCCGTTATCTCCTGGTCAGGCAAGCAAAACTGAACTTCATCATTTCAACGCCGTGTGTTGCGCACAACTATGCTAATAGCACTTGAGTCTTGAGTCTGTCGTTGCTGCCTGCCCGAGGCGAACGCCTGCGGCTGTTTCGTAGGCGCGCTCTCCACCATCAGGTCGATCCTGGATAGATGTAAAAACCTGCACAACGTTTTACAAGTCGTGTCTCCTTTTGCCTGGCTGAGCGGTTCGATTTTTATCATGCGGTTTGACGCTAGAAGTTGGTGGTCGTTTGGGCAAGGGATCACAACGGGCCCTCAACCCCTCACGCCCCCGTTTTTCCTTCCGTGCCACGCCATCGTATGCACTGACTGCTGTACCCATCCGAAACAATATCTTTCATGCGCAGGACGAGGTGACGCTTCGCAACCAGATCGACCCTCGCGTCCGCGCAGCCCTGCTCAATCCGAAGCACCTTTATGACGGCCTCACCGACGACGTCAAAGAGAAGGTGCGAGCACCCCCATCGCGAGAAAAACACCTGCCTCTCGGAGTGAAGACAAGCGTAGCAGGCCTTGGACAGCGAAACGCCAGCAAAATGAAACCGGTGGAAGTAAATACTGACGCCACTATTGTACGACGTAGTCCTATCGTTTAGACCTCGAATGTTTCGTGTTATGCAGCACTTCTCACCTGTTTTCGATCGACCAAATCAAGAGTCTCCAACAGAAAGGACCATGGAATGACCTTCGGAAGCTAGCTTAGGAAGCGCACATAGTTTCCGAGCCGGTTATCCGTCCATCGATGCGACTCTTAGTGATTTCAGGCCGCACTGTGTTCACCATTCATTCAGCGACGGTACAGTAGTCACAAGACTTGTTGACTCTGCCCCTTGGTGCTGCTTTGACAGCGTGGAAGGCCCGTCTGTCCGACGAACTGAGACTGGCCGTGTCCGAAACGACAATGGATTGAATGGGCCGCTCCTTGTTTGGACGTGATGCGCGTTTTTCTTTGCAGTTTGTCTCAGTCGTGCGTTTTAGGACCCCGCCGCATATGAAACTAAGACCTCCCCTGCCATTTAGCTGTGAGATCGGAGTCCCCTTATTGTTCATCGCTCTAACCAGCGTATCGCTTTTCACATGACCATCCGTTCTCCTTCATCCTCCCTCTTTCCGTTGCCGCCTGTGCTTGTAAGGTCATCATCCTCCTCACCAAGGCGCTCTCGCCAGACCCGACCAAGCGACCTCCCATGGCCGAGATGCTCGCCGAGTTGGACGACATGAACGAGTGCCTGCTCGAGATCGAGACCCAGGGAGTAATCTCGGCGGTGGCGACGGCAGCGGTGGCTGGGGGAGGGCCGTCCCGAACGGCCAGCACAGAAGCCGGAGAGGCTGGCGTCACCGACGGTCACGGAGCGCCGCATCCGCCGCCGCCGGTGCCCGATACCCTCGAGGCAGTGTCTGGAGCTGTCCAAGGAGGCGTGAGCGCCGTTCCAGACCAGTCCGCGGCCGTTGCAGGAGAAAACGTCATCATCCCGGCGATCATCCCGGAGGCGGCGGTGGGCCCCGTCGTTTCGAGGGAAACAGCCGACGGCAGTGTTGCTACGGCTGAGGAGGAGGGAGGAGGTGGGCGTTCAGCTCATGCTCCACTGGCGACGCCAGCCACCGACGGCCAGAGGTCGACTGTGTCCCGACCCCTCCCGGGAGGTTCCATGCCCGTGTTGGAAGTTGTTTCTGGAGGACTGCCGTCCCACGACGGTCCCAGCGGCGGTGGTAACCATGTTGTGCCGGCCGCATGCGCCGCATCGATCGTCCAGAGCGGAGTTGTTACCGAGGGATCTGCGGCGGTGATGCTGGTGTCTGCTGGTGAGGGGGGAGGTGTGGCGGCGACGGCGGCGGTGGAAGGGGGAAAGAGAGTGGTGGACAGCCAAGCACGCCTCCTGCAGTATCCGACGAGGCTAAGGTCACCGCGAACCGGCGATGTAGCGGTAGCAGATCGAGTGGGAAGGGCAAACGGGAGCCGAGGGACAGGGTTGGTGCCGCGGGCGTTGGCGGTGAACGATGCCACGGCTCCCTATGTCGTTGGAGGTGGTGGCGGACGGGGGCTTCGCACGTCGCACCACAGCAACCGACTCCCTGCAGGTCCTGCCCCGAGGAGGCCTACCACCAGGACGAACGCGGCCGGTGGTGCAAGAATGGACACCGGCCATGTCACCAATTCCCATAGGGCCGCCGGCACTGCGCGGGGGGGGGTCCCGCCGTTCGCTCACCGACAAAGCCGCTTCAACCCCCGCGGTCCCTATGGCCAGGGCAGGACGAATGCCAACCACGGTGGGCACCACAGCGGCAGCAGGAGTCACGGATCTTCTTCCCCCCGCCAGGGACACCACCAACATCACCCCGGCGTGCCGCTTGCATGGGGGCACCACCACCTCCATGCCGTGGCGAACGACCTGGTGCTGCCGCAGCCGCAGCCGCAGCCGCAGTTCCGGGCATACCCGCAGCACCAGCAGTCGTGGGGCGTGGGGGGAATAGGTGCCGCACCCTCCTACTACGTCCCTTCGGGGTCCTCGGCAAGGCATATGCACCACGGTGGATATGTCGGAGGAGAAGGAAGAGCAGGCGTGTTCCGCCCGCCTCAGATCCCGGTGCCGCTGCCACCGGTACCGCAATCCTCGATTTACCATGACCCGAGGTACGCGGGAGGCGGCTGCGGCTGCGGCGAATGGGGTGTACCCCGTGCGCCAGGGCACATGCAGTTTATCCCGGGTGAAGCGTTTGTCCCTGCCTACTACCCAATGGCGATAGGTGTAAACGGGTTCCCGCCCACGTGGCAGAGAACATGCGTTGTGCGGTGATATACGTGTACATATTTTGATGAAACGAAGAGCGTCTCAACTGTCTCAACGGATGCGTGTTTTTTTGGGCGTGTGTGTGCCCCTGTGTCAACGGAGAGGCGCGGTGGTCGCATGTACAACATAATCGTGATTGTGAGCAGCTTTAGATATTGTTAGGTTCCTGTGATTCAAGGGGGGGCGCTTTGGAACGGCACTTACTTTTATGCTAGGAGGGAGCTAGCTAGTGGTCTTTCGGTGGCGGGGGCTGCCGACGTAGTTCAATCATGGCGAAGGCTAAATGTTGTGAAGTGACGCGAAAAGGGCAGTGGGAGTAGTTCCTCGACCTCAACGGTAGGCTGGTGTTTGACGAAATGGGGTAGAACAACGTTTTGAATATTCTACAAGGAGGTAAGAGAGGAAGAGAACAAGCTGCTTCGAGATTGTGGCATCTATGCTGTTGGTTCGCCCGCTTGAAACAGGTGCAACCGTCTGTCTGTGCACACGAAACAGAGGCCAACATCTCGACTGTTGTTGTACACAGCACGCCACGCCGGGCGGTCGCAGTTGCCAGCCACCAAAGGCTCAATCAAGGCTGTGACCATCATGGGATCGCTCGCTTGAAGCTTCTTCGTGACGCCATTGTTTGTTCTGTCGACTGAGTGACCGAGCCAAGTGTGCTGAAGTCCCGCGTCCCGCGACACATGCACCCATTCATGATGCGAGATGTTCCGCCGTTGTTTTCTTCCCGTCTTCCACTCTCTGTCGCGCCGAATCCCGGCTGATGTTCTCCTGTGGGTCCCCTAGAGCAACCGAGGGTAAAGCGAAAATTCACCCCATACCCCAGTACACACGCTAATGTCTAAGGGTGAAGCTAAAGGCCACCCCACACCTACAAACACCAAATAAAATAACACCCAACACACACGACAACGACGACATAGCTGCATTTCTATTTTTTTTTGCATCTCCCGATCAATCCCCGATCCCCCCTTTCAGGGTTTCGTATTGTAAGAGCTGGCCTCACACACATGAATGCACATGTGTGTGAGCACCACGCTGCTGGGGCATCTTCTGTATCGTAGTTAGACACCTGCGCGACTGGGAGATATGAAGTCTTTTCTCGCTCTATCACTGTGCTTCCTCGCCGGGTGGGCGCAGGCGTTCATCGGCCATGTCCCCGTATCGCAGCCTCGATCCCCGTGGGGGGGGTTTCCCTCCTCGTCCTCGGTAGCAACGAGAGCAGCAGCATCGGTGGCGGCGCCAAGAGCGGATAGGAGGACCGCCGGGCGGGTTGTGGTGACGAAGATGGGGTGGGGAGACGACGTGGTCTTCAGCAAGGTGTGTACGCAATCACCAGAGCGGAGGGATGGTGAGAGAGTTTAAATAGCGCAGCGCGGTGAAGTAGTGTGGTTTAGGCGGAACGTTGATCAGGACCATTTTGAGGTTGAGATATACAGCAGTACTGCGGGTGCCTACGGCCGCCGTTCGTGAGAGGAATGGAAAGAACATACCGCACGACATACTGCTTATCTTACCGGGTACTTCGAAGGTGATAAGAAGAGAGGCGACAGGACTGGACGGTTGACCGTGTTCTCGACGGCCATACTCGATCGCCGTTTTGACTGTCTGGTCTCACCACCTGGTGCGCTACACACAAGATCCTCACGATTTCAACATGTGAACCGCCTCTCTCTCCCCTCTGGCGGCTGGCGGACCTCATAGCGACGACTCGTGGCAGAGGATGTACATAGATGCATTCAACAGAACCAATTCAAAATTTGCCGTTTTGCTATGTAGTCTTACGCCGTATTTCCTAGCTGGGACACACACACGCCATCGCACAAGCGCATGATTTCAACAACTGCTCTGGACCGCAGGCGTAGCGCTTTATTCTGTCGCTGCCATCACATCAACCCGCTGCTGTTGTCATCTTCGGGTGATTCCCTTCCGCTGCCATTGGTGAATATTCCGCATACTGCATGTCGCGGCACGTTCATGATCATGTATTGCCGTCGGCAGTATCAACGCTTGCTGTACAGCAGTAGGTGGACGGACATGATCGTCGAAGCTGTATTTGTGCCCAAAGTCGTGCGCGCGCGTGGCCAGATTTGAACTTTTCCGGGTGCACAGCTTTACAAAGCAGGTTGTAGTGCAAGAACAGACGAGTTGAGCCGCTGCCAAATATCAAACGCTGAAAAAGGAAAGTGATGTTTCAACGTCGAGAATGCGCGTAAAAAGTAAAAGCAGAAGGCGAGCGGGATCTGCTTTTCGATTGTCAATCCTTATCCGTCGTCACGCCGTCTTACCCGTGGGTCCGTCCTGCTACGTATTTGCTTCCTGCCTTGATACTCTGGCTGAAGAGCTCCGATTCGGGGGTCAAGCTCTTCGTCTCCATCGAACATGCATTTCTTTGCCTTCGCTTTCCATCGTCAGGATTACGCGCTCTCCCACCGTTTGTCTCAACCGAAGCCTTTTTTCGCTCTCCCCTCCCGCTCACATTGAGCAGGGGGTCCCACAAGGTTGCACGCTGTCCCCACCATTGTTCCAGGTGTTCATCAACGATCTATTGGAAGTCGTAGAGGCAGTTCGAAAGGGAGTAAAAGTAGGGGACACGGAAACTTCGGTTTCAGGAATACTGTTTGCGGATGATTTTGTCGGTATGTCGGACACCCCTGAGGGACTGCAACTGCAAATCGACGCGGCGAAGAAGTTTACTGATAAGTGGAGATTGTCTGCCAACGTTAAGAAGAGTGCCGTCATGGTATGCAACGAGGACAAGGAGGACCCAGTAGAACATAGATGGAAGTGGGAGATCGAGGAGATTGCAGTATTGGACCAGTACACATACCTGGGAGTAGAGATCACAAAAGACTGCTCGTGGAATGCACACATGTCCAACGTAGCGGAAAAGGGCAAAGCACGAGCAGGGAAGCTGCACCCAATACTCGCAAACCGGCACCTCGATACACGCATCAAATTGACGGTTTTGAAGAGCGTAATCGTACCGCCGCTAGAGTACGCAGGAGAAATATGTGAAGGAAATAAGAAGGTAGTGAAAGAACTCGAGGCGGCGCAGATGAAAGCAGCGAAAACCATCCTAGGATGCTCCAGGCGCACAAGTAATGCAGCCGTGAGGGCAGAATTGGGGATCCAATCCCTACGGTCGGGAAGAGACGCGAGGAAGCTGACCTGGCAGTATCGCATGTGCGGGATGGGAGAGGAGAGGTTGCCGAGAATTGCATGGGAGGCAAAGTGGGCAAACAAAAAGAGGGGTAGACAACCCAAGGAATGGGTCATGGTTGTAGAGGAC